CTGTCAGTTTTTATCTGTTAAATATCAAATGTCATCTATCATTTTTCATCTGTCAACAGTTATCTGTCACCTGTCAATTATCACCGGTAATATATCAAAAATTTCAACTACCGTCTGCCAACCGTCACCATAAAACCTCACTAATATAGTATGCAATTCGATCAGTAAAAAAAAAATTTGCGTATTTAAAATTGAAATTATGCTAATTTTGGTGGACTAATTCTGCAAGAAAAAAAAGTGACAGAAATATTCTTTTAACGTAGTAAATCACTTCATTACAACTTCATTACAATTTCAGACTTGCCGTGTAAGACAAACATAATCATAAAAATATATAAACATCCGTTTCATTTTGTAAAATTTACCAATCTTATGGTACAGAAGAATTAATAAATTCCAATCACAAGTCTACCAAGGTGATCATCATTTACCTTGGAGACTTTTTGTGATAGGATTGCTGCACTTTCAAGAATCCTTTCAAAATTCATTCAACTTAAAAGAAATCTTATATAATATGTCAAAATTAATATTATTTATCTTAACAATAAAAGAATGGTATAGAACATAATTTTACAATAAATTCTTTCTTTAATTTTTGGAAATAAATATAGACACACACATACAACATATACAGAGTTTAAATACATCTCCATACTATAAATATCCTTTTGTACCAAATGTAAAGAAAGAAAATTTAATAAAACAATATAATAAGTGCGTTACACTATTAAAGCTGTTTAATATGAATTAATTCTATTACTCGTATATATACCTATACACTATACAGCATCTCGAAAAATACAAAAAGAGAGAAAAAAAAATATAATTAAATAATGGACGAAACTTAATCAATTCCATCATGATTAATTCACAGATATACATACATACATCTACAAATCATAATGCCTATATCATCTTTCCATTCAAAAAAAAAAAAGCCCCCCAGCAAATACTGTTCTTATTTGCCTGCTTTATCATATTATGTACATAAATATTTTATATATACATGTACTTATACATACATATATATTTATATTCGCACAGGCATTAGATACACAATTCATGATTACATGAATTTTAGGCTTAAATATTAATTATATACAATATAAACAATAATTTTATACACAAGTACATACAGGTACCCTTATAATCATTAATATAATTTCATATTACATACAGATATGATATAAGTACGTATATACAGAACCTATGTTTCTGTAGTACAACGACAAAAAAAAAATAATGTTAAAATTATCTTCTTTTAAATTCACACAGTAATTAATGATTCATATTGTGAGCGTAACAAATGATCGTGATAAGTGTTTGAATAAATCACTGTGAATTCAGATTGTATTATATACATGGAGATAATGTGAAGCAGCAATAACAATATAAAAATATAATAAATTCATACACATATACATGCCTATACATATACATAAATTAGTAAGTTAAATTCGTATATGTGTACATGTACCTGCTGTAATAAAAATAATGAAAATAACAAATCACAACGGTAGCAAATTTTCTTTTTGTTTCTCTTATTTTATATTTTAGGAAAAAGAAAGCCTTAATTAGATTTTACAGGTACGCTCATTGTATACATATATGTACATAAAATATTTTACTTTACATCATATATATATATAAAGTAGAGTGCAAAAAATAACCTTAAAAATATAAGAGACAAATATTAGAAAAATTTTTATACACATTGTACGTTATTTACCATTTATTAAGAATTTATTGCAACAAAACTACTTGATATATGAATGTTAACCATTTCAGAGCCAGGCGTATTTTATCATTGTTAATTCTAAAAACAACAGTAAAAAAATTAAAGCAGACGAACTAATATAAGTTGTGCGAGGCTCATTGTAATTTCATTTGAGAGTTTCCGATGACAAAAAATACAGTAGTAATTGAGATTTTTTGATCTGAAAAAATTGGCAAAACGGAATATTGCCTTAATTAACGAACATGACAGAAAGTTGCAAACTGATCGGAAATATTCTATACAATGACTATTGTGACAAAGAGGAATAACAGAAATGATGATATATTCCATACACTTGTACAAGGCAGAAATTTCTTCATCCCCTCTCTTTGTGTTATACGAAATTAATATAAGAACTTACATATACGAACTTACATAAACAGAAAAGATACGAATCTTAAAAGAATAAGGCCGATTCGAATAATGTTCGGTATAAAAAAGATTTGTGGCGATACCACAAACGACAGATCAACTTAGCCTTAATACCTTCGGAAAGCAATTATAAAATTTTATTCATTTGAAAAAAAACAATTAGAAAAGAAATGTGTCAAATATGTTGAATGCACCAATAATACCTTGTATACTCTATATTTCTTCACTATACACAAAAAATTCATTGGATACCTTGTACTTCAATTAAATATTCAAACATAATATATTCATATGTATGTGAATTACAACTATATATAGAATTGTATATGTATGCATATGTATAGTATTTTATGGAACAGTGTAAATATTTCTGCGTATTAAAAATGCTTCTGAGTTTCTGAATGTATTTTTAATGTTAATGAAATGGAATGAATATGAATTGAAAATTGGCTTGACTTGACTATATTTTTATTAAATATCTGATCCGCATATCTAATCTATTTCCATTTTTTTTTTTCTAATTTTTATTTATTCATTTTCTTTTTTTTTTTTTGTAATATTTAAATTATCTCACATGTTCAGTTGCTTGAACAGTTTCGATTCTTTATCATTAAATTTTTTTTTTTTTTGTTTAATTTTTCTTTGTCATTTTTATACCCGTACGAACGTATGTTCGAAGGATATACTAAATTTGCCTCATCGTTTGTAAGGCTAATAAATAACGTTGTGAGATATAGACTCAAGTGTATGTTTTTGATCAGCATCGAATTCTGAGTTTATTTAGCTTTGTCTGTCCGTCCGTCCGTCCATCACAACGATAACTCAAAAACTAATTGAGCTAAGTTCACCAAATTTCCACAAATGATTTATTGCAGTAAGTGCCAAAACTCTGTTTTAATTGAACATGACCTGGGTACTGGTTCGGTTAGCTACCATACAACTTCAAAATTTATTTGTCTATTTCTTAGAAACAAGCAAATATATTAGTAGGGCCAATGTGTTTGATCGTTGAAGTCGTTGAAATTACTTGGCTCCTTCTGGTAGCTGTCATACAACTATAATAGTAGTTTGGCCATACCTTAAAAAATATTCAAAACGCAGTACTGAAATTTTGCATAAATTAATATGGAACCTTCAAGTGATAGTCTGTTCCATAGTCAGATATGACATATTTATTCGCACAAAGGGTAACAAATTCGTACGGGTATCACAGAGTTGACAAGGTCAACTCAATTTTTTCTCGTTTTTTTTTTTTTATGTTTGTTTTTCTGTTTTCTGATTTATTTGTGCTTTTATTTGCGATAAGTGATAAAAAACACATTACCTGTACATGTGTTTTTTTTGTTTTTATATTTATTTTTGTTTTTTTTAAATTTGTTATTATTTTTAACCTGTGAATGAATGAAATGATAAACAAAAAAGAAACCGATTTTCATTCATTCACTGAAATTTTTTTTCCATCGAATAAAATTTTCAAAAATGGAGAAATAAATTTATATAAAGTAAAAATATCAGGAACCGTAAAAGAAAAGAGAAAATATTATATTTAATTTTAAATAAATAAATATGTCTATATTTTATATATACTTAAGTATTTGCGTATATAAGTACATAATATATAGTGTTACATTTACAATTTGCTTCAATTCAAATTCAAAAATATCAAAGCTGATCGAAGATCTTGAAAATGTGATGAAAATCCATTTAAGGTAGAATTATCTACGGATGCAAAATATATTATTGTATATGGATGTATGTATATAGGTACCAAAAATTGAATGATATGAGCAAAAAATATATAAATTCCGTATATATAAATGTACAAATACCCATTATAAGAAGGTATATATAAGAAGGTATATGCTGTGCGTTGCTTATGTAGACATTTAAAATCTTGTGTGAAATTGCGTGGTGATGCTGTTTTTGTTTTTCCATAACATTTTTAAAGAAAAAAAATTTCTTGCATCTTATACATACATATTCGTCATATATATTTTAAACTAAATTTGGAAATCAAAATTCTTACTGGTTTTTGTAGTATATAAAAATAAATGATGATTGTATTTTTTTATACGAAGAAAAGATGCAACTTTGAAAACTAAAAATTGAAAAGAAAAGTTAAAAATTTTCTAAAGAAATGAGATGATTTTTATTTTCTTATATTAAACAATGTAATACCATAGTATATTGATTTTGTTTTTATTTCGCGAATATTTCCGCTAAAACAATTTTCATTCACAAAGATTATTTACTTTAATAATAATCCAATTTTCATATTATATACAGTATATGAGTACATACGCCATTATAGTTAAATTTTGTATGTAAATTACAAAGACTTAAATATAATGCCCTAAACTGAAAAGCCCTAAACTACTCCTGCGCAAATATGTTTTTTAATAAAATACTACAAATTCGGTTATACAGATGCATGCGCCTTTTCTATATACAAGAATTTATTTTTTATATTAAAAAATATAAAGCCACCTATACCGGAAGCACATTCCCAAAATATAAACTGACATAGGTGTATGGGAGTGAAACATATACCAATAAAAGGCATTTACTTCATTTATGTGTATGCACTATTCTAAATGTATAAAATCTTCAACGGCATCAGGCTATATATATGAGTAATATTGAGAAGAATATTAACGTTAACTTATCCCGGCATGGAAGGCTTCGCATTTCTATATTAAAAATAAATTATTTTCATATACAGCTTTATAATTGCAAGAATTTCAGATTTCCCACAAAAATTTTAACAATAAATCTTTTATTATTAATAATATACTGAAATTAACTAGCGAAATAATAACTAAAATTTAACAATTTACTTTTTTCGTTTCAGATAGGCGCAGAACATACAAATATTTTCGACTATATAATGTAACCTTAGATATAGAATGGTGAGTGAAAATATTTTAATCATATCTCATTCTTTTGGTTCTACAGCTCCGGGTGAGCCTTAACCTAGTTCACAATTTTCCGTCAGACTCTACGGTTCCGGACAGTTTCTCTCTAATCATGGACCCCAATTCTTCTACAAACATTCTCTAAACTAAACCAATTTAGATCTAGGTCTACCTCTTGCCCTTGTGTTGTATGCTCTTACATCTAGGATTCTTTTCTACGTTCGATATCCTGGAATCCGAGATACGTGTTCTGCCCATCTTATAAATTAATATATTTGACGATATTTTTGCCATCAATTAGTTCCTCTAGCTCTCGATTTGATCTTATTTCATATTCCCCGTTTTCATTTAATTTTGAACCAAATATTTTTCCGAGCAGATATTTCTTTCTAATTTTCTTTCAAATATTTTTAACTTTTATTCGTCACTTGTTGTCATGGTCCATGTTTCGCAGTAATATGTTGGTACAGGTTGAATTAATATCTTGTACATTCTAATTTTTATTGACTTGTCTATTAGCTTGAATTGGAGAAGTCGCTTGTATGTAAAATAGCATTTTTGTGCCGCTTGAATTCTCTCATTAATTGCTATGTGCATAACATTTTTATTATTTATTATGGCACCCAAGTATTTAAACCTTCTTACATCTTCAAAGTTGTAATTTTTAATAGTTATGTTTTGAGGATACCTTCTTGTATCATTTCGCGTCATTAGCATGTATTTTATCTTTAACTCATTGATTATCAAACCCACTCTGATATTAAAAACATATGAAAATATTTTAATAATAATTTTTATAATATAAACTAATTACATTTTACTAGTATTTATTCATAAAATTTAAAAACCTTTCTTTTTTCTTGTTGAAACCTAAAAAATTCATTAATTTCCAATAGAAACTGCCTCAGTCCGCCTACTTCTGTTTTATGTAGGAAATTTGCTTTGTATGAAGTTTTAAAGATTTGAACAGTTTAAAATAGAAAAAGCAGTTTATCGAGTATATCATTTAATTCCAGTTCCAGTTACAATGAGGTTACAACAAAAAAACAAACAAAAAATCAAAAAATATTTTCACATATATACAATGGAATATCGCTATACTTAAATACTTAAATTTTTAATTATACTCATAAAATGTTGCCTATCAAAATATTTACGTAAAATTAAAAATTAATTGAGATTTACTCTGAATCCCCCTTAGTGCTCCCAATGTTGCAATAATAAGTGTTCCTATATTAATGCTTTATATTAAACTACAAACTCTATACTAAATAATAATTATTTTTTAAATACAATTGTGCAAGGTACACCTGAAGGTTTCGCAGATTATAAAAAAAAAAAGGAAATCTTTTTTCATTCTACATTTTTTATCGTACAACTTGAATTAACAATTTGATGCGATAAATGACATGTACATTAACAATATATTCACAAAATTTTTAAGATATTTTCACAAAAAAAAAAATAATTTTGGTCAATTTATTAGTATCGATTTCAACTTTTCTCGCATCACATTTCTCGTCCATCACAATCAAAAAACAAACAGAATTTTCTTATTTAAAAGAAAGAGAAAAAACACAGAAAATTACAAACAGTGGTGGCTACACAATCATGCTGAAATAAATAAATATTAACAAAATAGTAACAATAAAAAAAATGGGGGGACAAACAATAAAACAAAACATTCAAATATATCTGGCCTACCAGGCTTATTAACTTAATGAGATGTGGGAAAATGTTTTCACGCAATTTTCTTCTTCTCAAATTAATTTTCCTTTGTTTTTTCCTTTTTGTTGTTTTTCATTATACTCAACATATTTTGTTAATTTTAAATTCTTTGTTCGTTCAACAGTAGTTACTTACGCAGAATTTCAAATGGATAAAGCAAAAAAACAAACCAACAATAATAAAAACAATTGCAGCTATGAATACAAGTAGAATAAAACAGAACAAAAAGTAAAATGGTACTGTTTTACGTTTTACATTATGGATTGGATTTATTTCGCATCAGAAAAATCCAGTAAGAAATTGAAAAAAAAATTAAAACACAAAATCATAAAAAAAAAGGAATGGTTATCTTTACAATTTCTTCATTAACTACATTATTTGATCACTAAAACCATTACCAGCATCACCATTGCCAACAATCATTTTTTAATATCATCGCGAGTACAGTATAACAATAAGTATTACAAACAACAGCAGCAGCAGCAACAACATTATCTTTTTAAATAAAGTGTTGAGGCTTTAACAGCAAAACAAATGAAAAATAAAATTTTTAATTCGTTCTGATCATAATGTTAGCGCTCATTGTGCGATCTCTTACATAAAAAATTCAATATTCAGCACTTGGAGGCAATTACTATAATCATAATCATCATCGGTATTATATATTACTATAATCACAGTTTTAAAACTTAATCCTATAGGCTAGCTAAAGGCCATTTTAAATACCACAAATTTTAAGTTGCTATATATAAAAGAAAGGAAAAAAATAGTTGATCGGGTTAACTATAAAGTGTCCTTCTTACTTGCTATTATATTAAAAATTTCTATATCTCTGTAGTAATACTGTAGAGAACAAAATTATTGTTATTTCTGTAGAACGTTTTAATTGTTTCTCACTGCAATATACCCTGACTCATATCTCAGACTCCTCTCCTAATAAAATGGCAAATAATTCATTCTGGTGTCTCAGTCTTGTAGTGGAAACTAAAGCAAGGTACCTTATCTAATTCTTACAATTGATACTCTTCCGCCTTCTCTTCTTTTTGACGAAGTCAAAAGACTCTGCTCTCTTCTATGTCAATTTTTCTCAGCAAAATTTTGGAAAGATAATTTCACTGCTACGAATTACTCAATGCTTCTATACCATTTATAGGCCATAATTTTAATTTGCAACTTATTACAAATCTTTAAGTGTTTTTACCGTTCCTCCGTTCAAGTCTTCTATGATTGACATTCTCAATACCTTAACGAAAGGTTATAGAGAACTAGCAAATGCATTTACTGCTCACGTTTATATAAAATCTTCCTGCGCCTCAATATCCAGTCGGAAGCATAAATAGACCTTACTTTTATATCAACTTGATATTGCAACTAAATGAATAATATGGAAACTTTTAAAATGGAAAAAAATTATTGGTGATCTTGTATTTGATTGAAAATTACAATCAAATCCACAGAAACTACAAATGCACACAAATATGTTTTTAATATTGCAAACGGAGAAACAAAATATAAACCAACTTAAGAATATTTTATCATCGATATACGAATATAAATCACAAGAAATAGGAAAAATCACAAAAAAAAAACTTGATATGATCTTTATATCTTCATCATCCTGCAATTGATCGAGCTACGTACATTTTGTATTCGTGTCCGTCTATATTTTAGCAAAGAGAATATAAAAAAATTTTAAACTTTAATCCATCTGGCAAAATAATGCGATCATTTTATTACATTTTAGTTTATGAATTTATTTTAACATTATCTTTCAATACCATTTACACAAAGAAGATTATATAAATATAGATTTTACTCAACGGAAGAAAAACACAAAACAACAACAAGAATATTAGATGATCCATTGCAGAAAGATTCAATGACTATCTGAAAAACAGCAAGCAAAAATCAAACATAATGTTGTAATTTTCAATCATAGTGATTTTGCAAAATTTATTTATCATATCACCACTACACTTCATCATACAATATACACGTATCCCATTGCAAATAGTGCCGATAAAATGTAATAGAAATATAGACAAAAAAAAAAATTAAGAAAAAAAATAGTAAAAGAGTTTCACACACTCTATTGGAATTCTTAAATCGTTTTCAGAAAAATGTTCCTGAGAGATTATTTTTGTAATAAATCTGCGTATTTAGAAGGAGTTTTAAAATTTTTATGTTTATAGAAGATCAAAATCAAAAATCATAGCTTATACTTAAAAACGATAAAGATAACGTTCATTTTAAACGTGCAGGTATCACTTTTTTTTTTTTTAAAACCATCAATACCTTATATGGAGACCGCGCATCAAAACACAAAAAAAAAAAAAAAAAATTGTTAAAAGATAACTAAGCAATTGATCTTTAATAACTGTAATAAGATTTCATAATCAAATAATATGAAAGCATATATGAACGTTTTTATATTTGTGTTTCATCATCGAAGATCAGCTCTAAGCTTTAACTTGGAAAAGCAGTTAAAGACTTTCTGAATTCTTATTTCATTCAGTTCAAGTTACCAATACCACCAAATCCAAGAAAATATTTTATTATAAAAAAATTTAATACAGTAATCCCTGAATAATTTGTGCGTTTTCATTTACAGTTAATATTGCAAATTCATAAAAACGAAATGGATTGACTAAACGAACCGAACATATACGAGCCGTACATAATATCAACTTAATTTTGAATTTTATTATAATATTGGCACTATTCCAATATTATTGACTGGATATTACAATCAAACTAAGATTAATCAAGTAATCTTTTGGACAAACGATATTTTTCGTGAATTACTGTGAATATTATGAAAATGGTCAGTTTCTAAATAGCCGATTGAAATTCACTTGAAGGCATTAAATTTTTTAATATTAAATTTTTCCGAGCATCTTCGAAAGCATAATAAAGCTTTAGAATGATAATAATTATGTTAATCATATTATTAATGATGATTTTGGTGCTGATATAAATGATGATAGTGGTTGGTGGTGGTGATGGTTGTGGTAGTGGCAGATAAATTTTTTTATCATTTTCATTTGATCATTTTTAGAGAAAAAAAAAAAAAATATTTTTTTTTTTTTTAATTTTTCTTAAATTTTATTTTGAGAGTTTTCTTTCTATCGGTAAATTCTGGTGTCTTGCTGTTTTCCTAAGTACAATAGATATATTTATACTCAACTTACATTATTACATTTCAGAGACTATAATATCTTCTTATCCACAAGCAAATATACGCGGACACTTCTTTTTTCTTTCAT